ATATATATATATATATATATATATATATATATATATATATATATATAAGAAAATAATAAACGTAACGAAAAATAATGCGTGCGGTTATGAATATTAATTAAAATATGATAATTGTGTGCAAAATGCATTTTTTCTCTGGGAAAAATAAATACAGTTATAACTGTACTTATTTATTTGTCCCAGAGTTCTCACATAAATTTTATAATTTTATCACGTGCCCTCTCTCGAAAGCATAGATAAAGATTTTTTTTTCTGTCATTCATATTTGAATTATTACAATAGTTTTATTATTTATTCTCTCACATGATTAGTTTTACTGTTTACTTACTTCCAAAGTAATACTGATCCACGGTTTTCAACCAACCGACATCGTCATGAGTATGCGGGACCATATGAATGTTAAGTTTATTCGGATCCACGGCATGGCATGCCTAAAATTAATAAAGCATGTACCACATCTATTTTACTTATTTTATAATTAGTTATCAAGTTTTAAAATACGTATTATATGAATTAAATTAATTTACGTTGTAAACGCAATTTTAGTTATTGCGCAGAAGCAGATATTTGTGAACGAAAAATTGACACCAATCTGTAAGGACGTTCTCCGGAAAATCTATTTTCTCTAGATTTTCTTGAAACTGTAAATATATGTTAATTTAGGTGTGCTTTATGCGTGGTATAAATTTCAGTACCTTTTGCGGTATTAAAAATCGAGATACTGAGCTCCAAAGTTTCAACTTTTAACATGGGATTCCTATTCCTATTGTAAAACAGACATTATAATAAATTGTGAAAAAAGTTTTCTCTAAATGTTTTTGAAAAACTAATATATGATGCTCTATAAAAATAGAAATAATATGCTCAATACCCTTGCGGTACTCGTTTTCGAGAAATACTTGTGTAAAGTACGCGATTTGATGAGTTTTTCGCTCGGTTCAGAGTGACAGAATAGGAGAGGCGTCAGTTACTTGGCGACTCACACCCCTGTTGAGCTGCCCCTCTCATTATAATTGGTTCTTACACTTAGATCCGGAGAAGAAACAAAGATAAGAACCAATCATATTAAAGAATCACTGACCGCTCACTCAACAGTTGCGTTTCCTGAATGCGACCATTATATGTAATATTTTGTATATAAACATCTTTTTAAGCACGAATACAAGTTGAGCACGACTGGAGCCGGAGAACGTCCTTACGATTTGCATCGCATTCCTAATAACTCCAGTTAGCAATTAATTTACGTACCTCATGGCACTTAGTAGGTGCTGCGTCTGGTGTGGTTCGTGGTATTCGCGCTGCATCGCCGGGAGCGAGAAACTGCGCGAATACCAGCGACAGAAGAAGAAGCAGAAATTCGTATCGCAACATAGCGTTGCTTCTTCTGACGTGCAACGTATGACTAATGAGATAATTGAAGCTGCCGCCCTATACTTATACCGTTGACGGACTTGGAGCGTGCCAGTGTGATAGCTTGCCACAGCAGATAAAAGACGATATAGACCGATGATGGTCGCCAATGCAATAGCGTAGGCGATAATTTAATTCAAAAATTCTTCGATTCAAAATACTTTAACAGCATTCAATATAATAATATAATAATTTTAAAAAATATTAACATAAAAAATATATTTATTAGGCTGTTCTTCCAAAAACGTCCGTGCTTCGATTTAGGTGAAACTTTTGTGAATAGGATAAAATTGTGGATAGGATATGTCCTTTTAGATAAAAAAGACATATACCAAAAGGATTTTTTGCGACTCCAAAAGTTTAGCAACTTTTTTAACATTTTTAACTTGCTGCCTCCGCGCATACATATGTTTTTGTTATTTAAAAGGAACCTATTCACAAAGTTTCATCTAAATCGGAGCACGGACGTTTTCGGAAGTTTCGCCATTTATTATATTATTGTTCAACATTTTTCCTAAAAATTATAGATATCACAAAATCGTGTTAACTAAAATAAAATTTACATACACTATGTAACACTTTTATTATCATGCTTTGATATTAAAAATATTATATCTGATAAAGTATGATATGGTTCTGTAATCTGATTGTAAAGTCGAATATCTCAAGAAAAATATGTAACATTCTGAGATGTTTTTCATCAAGAAATTCTTGATGTGAACAGATAACAGACACAAGAAGGTTCAATTTTATTATGGCAAGAGTTGCAATCCTTAAGAAATTATTGTATATATTGACATGAACTAACGTGAATGTTAATAAATAATAGAAATTATAAGCATTCTGCTATATTAAGAACAAAAATAAGTTATCTTACTATAATGCCAAAAAAATTATAAAAAATAATTACAAGTTTTTATTACCTATATTAAAAATCTACAATATACCAAAGAGCTTGCAACCTATATTTTTTTATAAAATTATTTACATTAGTTTGAAAGTGAAAATTGGAATATGGTATTCAAATTGAAATGTAATATTCACTTTATAAACTCTAAAACTTACCAAATAATTATAAACTATTAATTAATTATAAGCAGCTCGCGTATAGATATCCAGTTTATCTTACTGCTACCGTGTATACACTTGGCACAAGTTACGTGACTCTTTTAGAGACCATTTCGTTCAAAGTCAAATGGTAAGATATTCTCTCTTGAACAATTATATGAAACGTAAATATTGTAGTACTTACATTTCATATAACTGTTTTTTCGACTTATGTGTATTATTGTTATATTATCATTGTATTGTAATTAGAGTTTCTGAGAACGCGGATATCTTCTGTAGGACAAATATATTTTGTCAACATTTCTCTGTCATTAAAACAATCTAAAGTGACAATATTCATGATTATATATATATAATACATTAATATAAATATTAATATTAACATTTATTTATAAGGACTAATAAATAAATCTTAATTTTATAAATTCTTGTTTTAATCTTTTATTTTGTATCCTCGATGTAAAATAGTATATATAAAATCTTTATATAAAAGAATACTAATTTCTTTTTAACTTTTTTTAATGTCTATATATTTGTATCACATTGTTTTTTAAGGAAATTAGGGAATATGAACTAATAAATATGTTATGTGTTAAATTTTTCAACAATTTAAGATAAAGGAAGATCATCATCAATTATTATGCAAATAAGAGATGATACTCACCTCAAAGTTGCTCCGCCGGGGCCCGATGTCTCTCTCAGACCTCCTCCTCCTATCAGGGTGTCAGGTATCCTCCTCCTCATCCTCCTCCTCTTCTCATCGCACAAGACACTCGCAGATAATAAACTTTAAGCGACGCGAATATATATACAAAATTATGAAGCATTCACAAACGGGCAATTTATCCACGCCGTTCTGAATAACACATTCGAATCACTTGATAAATCGATAATATCACTCAGCCCTTTTTTTCTCTACGGAAAGGATCGGAGATAAATCACACGATAATTTCGGTACAGCGTTCAAAGCACGACACGAGATAAATGAATTACGTTCGAATCCAACATATTACGGGACGAGCGATTATCGCCCGCGAATATCACACAACGAATTAAAAGTCACTCACAATTGTGATCTCACAATTACTTTCGCCTCGATGTTTCCGCCTCGAGCGAGCGCGACACATTTATTAATTCCGACAAACACTTAATTGATACACTTTTACATTATTGAGCACGTACGGCGCACGGCGCGTACTCGCGTAGTCGATTATTTCCGCGGCTTGCGGAACGAGGAGCAGGAGCGCCAATCATAGAAACGAATGCGTTCCGAATAACACAGTACGGAGCACAAACACTTTCTACCTGTGCGAGAACTGCGAGATTCATCGGGCAAATGATAGCTGAATAACTTCCGCAGGTATCCGAACGTTGACGGAAACGAGTGGCAAAAACAATCGGCCGCGCAGTGACTTTGAACGTATGTTGTTTCTAAGTTCAACGGTCGCGCCTAGTATGGCGTCTGGTATGCCGCGCCGCCGCGCCGGCAGCTCGGAGCGGCCAAACGTGATTGGCCGGATCCGGGGGCTCGACTCGCGAGCCAATTGCGTTCGACGTCTCACTCGTCTCGCAAGTAAATACGTGACATGTTCAACGATCGGTGCGAGACGTCGCTCGCGTAATTCTTTTCTCGTGAACGGAAAGAAATCCGGTTGCAGAGTGTTGTAAAGTGAACGTACGCCGAATATTCCGTTCCTTCTTGTATCGAGTGCAACGAGTGGGATGCTGTCGCTGAACAAAATAAATGCCGATGAATGCCGTGCTGTGGATGCCGTATATACGTATCAACCTCCCGGCTGTGATTTGTCGGGTCTCCTGCAGTGCTCCGTGATCGGTGAGTAAATTTTACGTGAGAAATAAATGTTTCGGAGCGCGATACATCCGAATCTTAATAGAACCGTTGTCACCCGCGTGTCACAGTGAAACGATAATCTCGAAATTCGCGTCTCTTGTCTTCGTTTTGATTTTTACTCCGAATAAAAATGAAGACACACGCTTTAATGAATAGCTTGACCATCTCGTTAAACGTGGAAATTAATAATTAATTGAGTGATTAAAGAGAACGATCGCGCGTTTGGCGTTCTCACTTTGTCGCGATCGCGAATGATCGCGAACAAGGGAGCGAGCTAATTTTGTTTTGAAATGCGTATGAATTTAACATCGAGAGTGCGAACAAGCTCGAATGTGGGAATATAATTTCGTTTTTCGTTAAAGAACCAGGCATGTGATTCGCTCGTTCACGTAATTTGTCACATAAATGTTTATTTGTACGTGTGCTTCAGATCTTTATTCCAATTAACCTCTACTTTTACATACGAGTTGTATTTGTATTAAACGTACAGTGTATACTTCGCTATGAAATATAACATGTAACTTTCATTAAATATTAACTTTAAGAAAATTAACATTAAATTGTATCGTTTTTTTAAATAAAATTTCATTTTTATAAAAATTTCTTCGCGATCATTCTCACAGCGCGATGATCGAGCATACCATATAAAAGACAAAAAACCTTCGCCTCCAAGATACTTAAAAGTTATATAAAACATTATCTGTTAATAAAGTTTTTGATAAAGTTTTTCAACATTTGCAAACATTTTATTTATATTTTTGATATTTGATTTTGATTTTTGATTTATTTATATTTACGTTGAAATTTAACGCATTTTTGTGTTTAAGTAGAATGTTCTCTACTTTTAATTATTTCACTATCTTCATAATTAAAGTTTGAAATCAAGATATTTGCTTTTTTTATTCCATTTACAAGCCGAGAACGATTTTTTTTATTGTATAGGTGATTACAAATAATTTTTTTAGAACAGGATTTTTTAAATTATTTTAATGTTATATTTTATTTTTTAGTCGGCATTTAAATCTTTTTTGGAGCTATTGCTTTATATTGACACGGCAAAAATTACGAATAATGGTTAATTTGAAAATAATTGTATTAAAAAACAGTGTTTTTTAATTCGGAATTAAGACTAATCTTTTTTGATAGTTATTATATTATTATATTATTTAATATATTATTTAATAGTTATTAATGTATTATTTTATAAGTAGCTTTTTCTCCTATATTAATTTTTCAAGAATATATGTTTTAATTTCAAAACAATGCATGTTTTACGATAGCTTATAATACAATACAAAAATATAAATTAACGATGAAGTAAGCTACTTACTTTTG